GAGGTTATGCGTTTTGGATGTGTTACAAAGACTTAATTTCTCCAAATACTCAATGCCTGGTATGCTGGAAACTCTCAAGAAATATCTGTTTGAATAGATGATCAAAGCATAGTAAAATGTGCCAGGATACTAGAACACTCTCTTTACATCTCAGCCATCTTTATATTACCAGAAGGCTAGAAATACAGAATTGGCTTGGACTTCTCCTACCATCTGAGTAGCCCTGGGGCCAGAATAAAAAGGAGGGTCCTCAGGGCCGAGACCACACTGCCCTGGTAGGACAAATATGGCCAGGAATGCTGGAGCCCAGGCCCAGGTGAGTGGCTCCGCGTGTCTGAGGAGCCCCAGTTCCTGGACTGATGGGGTGCATCTCACTTTGTCCTCTTTGTCAGCCTAGTACTTTCTGGTGCAGCCTCGCCTGCAACTGCAGACAGTGCTCCTCTCTCACCTGGGCCAGGAAAGGAAGGCTTCTGAGCGCCTTTTCTTTCATCAGGACGTGGTGATGGTCAGGCCATGGTCAAACACATCCAGGGCACACAGTAAGCACACATCCCAGTTGCTCCCCATCCCTCTACTGGAAGAGCTGATGTGTAAAAGAAAGAAGCTTCTCCTCACAGGCACCTGGTAGCTGGGCTGGTGAAAGCCTGCTGGTGTAGACGTCGGGAACCTAAGAAGTCCTAGGTCCTGCCTTTATCTGGGGACTACAAGTAAGAAGGAAACACTTCATACAAGGAGGCTGGGTGACCCTGGGCAGGCTGCCTGTACCCTTTGGCCCAGGTGACAAGTGGGAGACAAGTGAAAGAATGGGGTCTCCTCGGGGCAAGGGTGAGACCGTGGCGCCACCTTCCCAAGGCCCCATTGTGCAACCCACCAGCACCTGGGCCTCACCACCATCTCCCTCTGGGCTGGGCTGGGCTGAGCCTCCCTGGCTCTCCCACCTGGCTGTTGCCTCCTGGTAGGTGAGTATCACCCCCTCCCAACACCCTTCTGCTCCCAGGCCTGAGGGCCAGGGCCTCCCTGGGCTCAGCTGGGCAAACCTGTCCCCGCCCTAGTACCTGAAGGCGGCACCTTTGTCAGACATCAGAGCGGACTGGTTTTCTCCATGAAAACACAGAGCAGGCCTGACAGAGGTGCCACTGATGACTGCAGGTATGGCTGAGACACCTCTACGTGGCATAAGGTGCACCCCACAGGCTCTGAGCCCTGGATCTACCACTAGAAATTGTGTGTGGGGGATGGTCCCTTCCCACTATCCCCAGGCCCAGTTTCCTGAAGGGAATTGGTTCTGCTTTTGTATCTGCCCTTGTATCTGGCTCCAGTTAGCAGGATCAAATTCTCTTCTCATATGGACCCTAGGAAGCTCATATGGAGCCCCTCACAGTTTAGTCCCCAGAAAGACCTACTCCTCCCCAGAGACTGGCACCAGGTTCAGGCCGGACACAGCAGGGACTTAGCGTTTGTTGTGGGATTGAATGGCACAGAACCGAGCTGGGAAACTCCCTTTGCCACAGACACGCCCTCTCCTGGGTCCTGCTGAGTCAAGCACAGTTTCAAAGCCAGTTTTCTTGCCTCCCTGACTCCTGCCCTCCTGTGATATGCTGAGCGCTAGGCCTCGAATCCTTCACAGGCCACACCACACCAAGCTTCCTTGTGCAGACTGCCTGTACACCTTACCGACTCCCTACACCCTGCCTTGGGTCTGTCTCAGCTCCCTATCACCCTAAGGCCCCTGTCTAACGTAGTGTGAGGCCCAAACAGCCCCTCCCACAGACTGTGGTCCTGTCATATCCAGACACCAGCCCTGAGCAGCAGAGCCCTGGGAAAGCCCATCTGTGGGTGGCCAGACAGGCCACACTGGAGTCGGGGTAGGGGGGGCTTCTTATGTTCTCTCTTCTGGCATCTCTCTGGGAGCCTGGAGTGGTCAGTGGTGCAGCTGGGCATTCCAAGAAGAGCGGATTGCAGATGTCCTTGGAATCCAGGCTGTTGGCTGGGGAAAGGCAGCTTGGCCTTGGAGGGGGGATATACTGTTTTGGCTCCAAGGAACTGAGCCCAAATGGGACAGACTCTCCCCAGAGATTCATGGCCACTGGGAGGGGGGGGGTGAAGAAGGCCTGTGTCTGAGCTCTCTGGCCAGCCCCCATGACCTCACAAGAAGGTAGCTCAAGGGTAGGCCCATCTGCTTCCTTCCTCCCACGCCAGGGCTGCACCAGCTCTGGACAGCCTCCTGGGTTGACCAGGGGACAGCCTCCTAAGCCTGGGGTTGTTCCTGCACTACCTGTCTCTTTCCCTCCCCCTAATCTCAAGCCTGAGGGCATCTCCCAAGGGCATCTACTCCTACAGGAACCTGCCAGTCCTGCCTGCCCATCAAGGAAAGAGCACTGTGGTTTCTCCTGACCTTGGACAGACCTGGCCACACACAGAGGACCTGGGCACCATGCCCTGAGCTACTTGGAGACAGGGCCACCAAGAGTGGCCTCCAAGGCAGCAAGAACAGATGTTTTCACCCATCTAAGCCCCCTCAGGCTCTGCCTCCCTCCCTCTCACTCTTCTCTCTCCTGATCGGATCCTGGTCAGGAGGTGGACTAGGATAATAATCCCACGACAGTCAGAACGCTGTTAGTAACAAATGTTCAAGGCCAGGTTCTCTGCACGGTGCTGAGGAAACACAAACAAGACACATGCCCCTGACTTAACAGACACCTCGACCCAGCCACGAGCAGGCCCAGGCCTTGGCATGTGGAGAACACTCAGTACATTTTTGTGGAATGAATGAAAAATACACAAAACAGGCTGTCTGGGTACACACAGCAGCACAGACGCGGGCTGGAGCATGTGACAAACACAGGAAGGCCACCAGGGCAGAGGTGAGGCCTGACCCAGCCACCACCTGTCCTCACCTTCAGGTAAGGTGGACTCCAGTCCCCAAGGCTGCTCCACGACTCCCTACCCCAGCACCTCAGTGACTCAGCAGCCACAGTTCCCCCAGCCAAGGGAATCAGAGGTGGAAATGAAATTTGGGGCTTCCTATCGGAGAAGCCAGGGGCCAGGGGGCCTGAAGCTCTTCTGATACCCTGTCCCCAACTTGAACCCCTATGGGGCGCTGTCACAGTGGCGATACCAAGCGCTCATATTAGTGTGGACCTGGACATCCTGCCCAGCTGCCAAGACTCTACAAGTGACCTGGGAAACGTACACACCAGGTTTCGAAAGCTGTTTTCTTGTCCCACTACCAGCTCCTACTCAAAGGAGGCATGGGCCACCTTTGGGTGTGTGGGTTACACGGGTACAGAAGCCGAGAGGCCAAGCAGTCATGCCCAGGAGGAGCAGTTTGTGTACACTGGGAGGACCGAGCGGTCTGAGGAGTCACTGGGCGGGAACTTCCATGGCCTCTTGGAATCGCTTCCCCTCCCCAGCAACGTTCTGCACACTGGCTTTGGATCCCAGAGCCCCTGTGCGGACCTCTGACGGACCATGAGCCACGGGGTACATTCAACTCTGGGGATAGCAGTGCTAAGTGATGAGCACCCCAGTCCACACCTTAGCAGGGCCTAAGTCCTAGGCAGCCCGTGGCCCATGGACCGCAGACTGCACAGAGCTCTCTCTGCAGTTGGGCTCTTCCAACTTAGCCCTCATGGGGCAGAGCAAAACCTCCCCAGAGAGGCTCGAGGCTGCAGCTCTGTGCCCCTGGACACGTGCCACGTGCACCGCGCCTAGCACCTGGTACACACCATTCCTCACACACCCTCGCGGGGCGCTCCCAGCTGAGCAGGCAGCAGCACCTCACCTCCCACAGCTGCACCTGCAGTCGGGCCCCCAGCACCCCGCCCTCCTTGGACCGCCCTGGGCCAGGCCTCTCCCAGCAGTGCTCTTGCCTGAGCCTGAGGGAAGTTAAGGACTAAGGGAGCCTATCCTGCCCCACTGCTGAGCGCATCCTGAGAGAAGGGGCCTTTCCAGACCCCGGCCAGGGGCACACATGGCCATCAGGAGCACTGGCCGAGGGAAGGGCCTCCTGGGCGTCTCGGAGGTGTGTGGGATCGGATGCTGAGGCACCTGCAGAGGCTGTTCAGAGGCACTCCTGGAAGAGACAGGTTGGGCGTGCAGAAAAACAGACCAGGGTTGAGGGCCCCTAGCAAAGGGCTGCCCGTACCTCCACTCCCCGACACCTGCACGACCTCTCATTTCTCAGGAAGCCTGGGAAACAAAGCCCTGGCCAAGGCGGAGACCAAGGGACCATGCAGTCCGGAGCTGGCCTGGAAGGCGCTGGCAGAAAGTCCTGGGAAAAGCAGAGATAAGACAGGAAAGCAGGAAAGACAAAGTACCCGGCTTCTGCTTCCAGTCCGAGGTCACCTCCTCCAGGCAGCCTCCTGGATCTCGCCCCGTAGTTTCCGGCGCCTGTTTCTACCCCCATAAAAGACACGCTTGGGTGCTACCATCCCGCATCTGTGTCTCTGGCCCACATCTCGGTTCCAGGGTTCCGAGCGTCTGGGTGCAGAAAGCTCCCGACCCTCACGAGTGGGGCAGGTGTGCCGGCTGGGGCTCAGTTTCCAGCCAGGCGCAGCCCCATCCCCCCACGCTCCCCACCCCCACTAGGCCGCCGCCCCGTGAGCGACTTCAAAGAGCCCGGCCCGGGCCTCCGCAGCATCCCCGCCGTCGAGGCTTCCCGCTCCCGGTCTCTGAGGCGTGGGCAAGGGTGCCCGCGGGACGCTGCGGGGGCCGAGGGGCGCGTGGTGAACCCCGCAGCGGGATGGTCGGCGGCCGCGGGGCCAATCGCACGCAAGGGGCGCGGCGCGGGCTCAGAGGGGGAGGGGGAGGGGAGGGGAGGGGGAGGGGAGGGGAGGGGAGGGGAGGGGAGGGGGCTGGCGTGGGCACAGGAGTGGGGGAGGGGAGGGAGGGGCGCGGCCCGGGAGGGGAGGGGAGGGGAGGGGAGGGGAGGGCGGGGCGGGCCGGGGGAGGGGCGGGGCGCGCCGGGGGCGGGGTGGGGGAGGGCGCGGGGCGGGGCGCGCGGCCAGGCGGCGGCCCGGCGGTTCTTCGGCGTCCGCGGCGCTCGGCTCTGGCTCGGCTGCGGCTCGGCGCGCGATGTCCCACTCCGTGACCCTGCGCGGCCCCTCGCCCTGGGGCTTCCGCCTGGTGGGCGGCCGGGACTTCAGCGCGCCCCTCACCATCTCGCGGGTGAGTCCTACGGCGACGGGGCGGTCCTGGGTCTGAGACCGGTCCTCGCGGGTCACCAGAACCCCGATCCCCGACGTGTCGGAGGCTCCGAGCGGAGAGGCTGCTCCCCGCGGGGCCGCGCCGCCCCACGCCCTTCCCGCTGGCCCCGCCGCACTGCTCCCCCCGAGTTCTCAGCCGGCCCCCCTCCCCGCTGGCCTCCTTTTGGGGGCGTCGCTGTGGGCCAGGGAGGGACCCAGAGGCACAGGCCGAGGGTCTAGACAGATCTGCAGGGACCTAGATAGACTCCAGACGTGGCCCTGCCTGAAGATTTGGGGCAAAGTGATAGAGAGGTCTCCTGCCCTTTCAGGGGTCCCCGATGGCAGAGCTGGGTGACCCCAGGCTGGCGCGAGGTCCTCTCCGAATCTGAGAAAAGGCTTTGCACTTCCCCACTGTGGACTCCTTCCCCATTCTTCTGTGGCCTGTCACCCTAGGGGGAAATGACCAGGAGGAAGCTTTGGCTTCCAAGCGAGGGGGAGACAGGACTCAGAGGTGATGAGACCACCGCTGCTTTTCAAGATGACCAGGGCCAGGGACCAGGACGTCCTCAGGCCAGGTCCTCCGGGCTCCCAGGGCCATGTCTTGCCCAGGTTTGAGAAGGAGGAAGGAAAGGAGAGACATAGGGACTGGCGCGGAGCGGGGAGGTGGGTGGCGTGCTGAGGGTAAGCAGCAGGGAGGGGACTCGGGCCTCCTTGCAAAGGGTACCCAGGGGAGACAGGATCCCGGGTGAGTCCTGCAGTTCTCTTGTCTGGAGAGGCAGAAGAAGAAGCACCATCCCTGCCCTTGGGGACCCCCCCAGTCCACAGGACAGAAGTACCCAGGCCCTGCCCTTGGTGGCTCCTGGTCCAGAAGGAATGTAAGACAGATTTGGGACCTGCTGAGGGCTCTCTCTTGACCTCATGGGCTGCTTTGGCTTTTGGGGACTCAGGTCAAAGGAACTGAGGACCACTTCCCCCCACCATGCGCATGCAAAAGTGCACACATGTTAGCATGCATGCACGCGCGTGATCCCTCTTTCCACCCTGGGGGCTAGGCTAAGTCTCAGAGACTTCTTTCCAATTCCGGAATGGGGGTGGGCACCGGGTGGAGTGAGGAATCGTGGAATCCTGTTCCTGGGGGCCCGGTGACAGGCAGGACCAGCTGTCCTAGGAGGCTTCCCACATCTGTCCTCTCCATGAGATCCCTGGGGCCGGGAGAGGTGGGCCTTCAGTACATCCGGAGCCTTTCATCTCCGACTTCCCCGGGAGACCCTTGCCAGGGCTCTGCATATGCGTGTGTGCACGTGTGTGCGCGAGTGTGCAGTGCGTCGGCCTGTGTGGGTCACGCTGTGCGTCCTCAGGGGAGGGCCGGTGGGAGTGGTAGGCCAGCCGGCAGGCAGGCCAGGCGCTCTGGGTGTGAGGCCGCTGACAGGCTCAGTGGCAGGGGCTGACGGCCGCGGGCGGCAGGGAGCTGAGACATCTGTTGCCCACGCGGCCGACTGCTCGCCTAGGAAAGGCCTCTGGCGTCACAGGAGCAGCAGTGGTCTTGTTTGGCCGAAGATGCAGGAGCCTGGTTGGCATTCAGGCAGTCTGGTAGCGAGGTGTTCAGAGAAGAGCCCCACTTTTGTCCCGCAGAGTCACACGGCAGCCCCTCAGGTCCAAGGAGCCACAGTGACTGAGCCTGGGCTTGGTTGGGATCTGGGAGGATTTACAGGGCTGAGGAGGCGCAGGCCACAGCTTGCCTAGCTGTTACGTGAGGAGCAAGGCTGCAGGGACTCAGATGTGTGGGAGTGTCCTTAGCGAGGGGACTTGAGATCCGGCTCTGCCCATGCTGCCAGGGCCTCCCCCAGCCAGAACCCAGCAGGAAAAAACAGCCTCAAGATGCTGCCTGGAAGCCTCCGTGGTCCCCAAGATCCCCAGACAAGCCCTTCCCCTCAGACAAGCCCTGACGCCCGGCCTTTCCCAAGCATCCACAATGCTCCAGCCCTGCCCTAATGCACATTGGTACCCGCACCCCCTCAGCCCCCAGCCCTGCTGCGAACCCCACTATGTAGCCAGCCTCTTGTGGAGGTGTCACACACACCTCCCCCCTCAAATTGTCTCAGCTGGTCCACACAGCAGCCTTAGACAGCCTCGCTGCAACCTCACACTGCAGATGGGAGCACCAAGGCGCAGAGAACTCGGGGTATCACATTCAGAGAAGCACGGTGAGAACAGGAATCTGGGCCCATCGGAGCTTGCTGGGACTGCAGCATCCTCTGTGGCTCCCTCCCTGTCTACCACCACAGCAGGACTGGGTGGGCAGGGCCCTCAGCTCCAGGTGAGGGGCCAAATTCAGGCCCGCACTGCCCCGGCCTCACCATGCCCCTCTGCTTCCCCTGTGTTTGTGCCTCGCTTCAGTGGTTAGAGGGATACGTCCTGTGACTTCCTGCTTGGAACCCTCCGTAGTTCCCAGCTACCCAGGGAAATATTGGCTCCAATCTGGGTGTGTGGAGCCCTGCAGAGCTGGTCTCCTTTGGGGCACTATCTCCCGTGGCTCCCATTTTGCACAGAAGCACAGTAGTTCAGAATGTAAGTTTGGAGTTGGAATTGGTTGGCCTGGATTAGAATCCTGACTCAATCATTTACTGTATAAATTGTACTTCTGTACTTCTGCAGACCTCAGTTTTCTCATCTAGGAGATGGGTTTGCCTCGCAAATTAATGAGTCAAAGCATGTCAAGGCAGCGTGGGTAGTCATGGTTTCCTGGCCTTGTGCCCTTTCTGACCAGAATGCCCCTAGCATAAGGGAGCTGGCAGCCTCCCAGCCACCCCTGCTTTCAAGAACTTCCTCCGCCCACAGGGACCTGAATGCACCCCTTGTGTGGGCTGAGTCATCTCACAGCTAGCTGCCCCCTGAGGAAGGAGACTCCTCTTTAGTGGGGGAGCAAGGCAAGCTCCTTAAGCCCTGAGCCCCTCCTCCTCATCTGAGTGAGCACAGCCTGTCCTTACCTGGTGACTGGGATCACTGTGAGCTAGTTATGGCCACAGTGCCGTGTCCAGGTGTCCATGAAAGGCAGGAAACCCAGAGAGCAGGCCCTGGAGAGGAAGAGTGATGGTGCCAGTGGCCACTTGCCACAGGACAAGCTTGTGCAGATACCTGGGTTCTGCCAGTGACCGTTACCGGTGGGCTGGGGACATCATGGTTCCGAAGAAGAGCATTCCTTGCGGGAGGCAGCAGGGGCAGGGCCCGCAGCAGGCTCTGGGCAAGGAGCTGCCAGCACTGCTGCTTTGCCCCCTTGTTGCTGTGAACCGCCGAGCTGAGCCTGGCCAGACCTCCAGGAGCGCCCACTCCCACAGTAGGATCTCGGTCACTGTCAGTTCCTGACCGAGTCCCCGCCCCCCCACCCACCTTCCACACACACGTGCATGCACGTAGCCTTTGTCAGAAGACTGGCATCACAGGAGTCTCCAAACCCAAACCCTATTGGATTCAGCAGTGACACCAAGTACCCTGCAAAGGTAGTAGGGTTGTGACTGAGTGCAGGCTGGCAGCTGGAATTAGATGGCCTTGGACTTGTCCGGGGAACTGGTCAGCGGACTCCCCCATGTTAACATAATGAAGTAATAGTGCAGAAGGCAGAGATGGGGATGGGGCACTGGGGCAGCTCGGAGGCGGTGGCCTCGGTGCTGAGACCTGGAAGAGGAGGCACAGGATAGCAGCAGGAGTCAGAAGAGGCGGCGTGCCAGGTGGAAGGATCAGCATTTGCGGAAAACAGGGAGGTGGGCACTGTCTGGTGCCTCGGGTCCCCCACAGCACCCTATCAGACCCTCACACTCCACCGGGCCTCCAGGGCTAGGATTGAACCCAGGGCCTGCACACTGAGCTACACTTGACTATTCTTGAGTCAAGGTCTTGCTAAGTTGCCCATGCTGAGCTTGAGCTTGTGAACAGAGTGCATCCCACACCTGACTTGGAGTTGGGTGTTTTTGAAGCAGAGGCTGTAGCATTGCCAGAGGGCCTCAGCCAGCCTCCTGACCTGCCCATCCACGGGTCCCCCTGAGGGCCAGGCCACACCAGGCAGGCGCTAAGGCTGGAGGAGCTTTAGAGCAGAGGGTCGCCTGACCACTGTGCTGACCATCTGTCTCATCTGCCTATAGGTCCATGCGGGTAGCAAGGCTGCACTGGCTGCCCTGTGTCCTGGAGACCTGATCCAGGCCATCAATGGTGAGAGCACAGAGCTTATGACACACTTGGAGGCGCAGAACCGCATCAAAGGCTGCCACGATCACCTCACGCTCTCTGTGAGCAGGTGCGCTTTGGGCAGACTGGGCAGGGTGGCCGGCAGGAGATGGGGGGCGGGGTTGGAAGCAACCACTGTCCTGGGTGAACTGGGCTTGTCTGCCCCAGCTCCTGAGCACCCTGACCAAGTCCAGACCTAGAGCTTATGCTTTCCTGGGGGCCCGGAGGGCAGCGATTAGACCTGGAACAGCTTACAGAAGGGAGAAGTCCCTTTCAACTCCAGCCTAGAAGTGCTGGGGCCACTTCCAGCAGGTGCTGCTGGCAGCAGAAATAAGACCTTGAGTTGCCTGTGGGGCTTTACTTCAGTCCCTTCTCCTACCCACAAGTGACCACCACATTAATGATCATCTCAGGGCATTTATCTTCAAACCAACTAAAAGATTTAAAGCTATTAGAGGCCCTGCTTTACGGATAACCAACCAGAAAGGTTGGACAACGCACAAAGCCACACAGTGAGGCAGGGGGCAGAATTGACCTCTGGTCTCTCTTACTGCTCAAGGCTCCAGCTCCTCTGCCATGCTGCCAGCCACCACTGCCCACCCCACATGGCAGCTGCCCTATGGCAGCTGCCCCCACTGTGGCCCGTGCCTCTGTGCCGGTTGAATGTGGATTTGGAAACTCTCCCTGCGGTGAATTGTGTAATGCTGTGCAGCTCATTGAGAAGGAGAGGGTGGGGGTCCCAAGCTAGGATGCCTTGCCCAGTCCTAGGTCTTTACTCAGCCTGGAAGGCTGCTGGACTAAGCCCAGCTGAGTGGGATCCCCACACCTCTGCCCTGGCTGGTCCCGGAGGAGTCATCCAGCTGCTCAGCTCCGCCACGTTCCCTGTTAACAGGGACTTTCCACGACCCTCTGTGGAACTGTGTGGGCAAAACCTCTCCAAACCACAACACAGCTAACCATGCCTTAGTGCTGGCGGGGTGGGAGGTGAGGCATTGGCTTGGAGCCTTTAAACTCGGTGAGAAGGTTTATGAGGCAGACCTGTTGTCCCGGCCCAAGACTAGGTCCAGGCAGGGGGTCAGGATCCCTGGCTGTGTGCTTGGCACAGAAGAGGCCCAGCTGCAAGTCCAGGACCTTTCACACTCTACGTGGCACATAGCAAGGACGCCCTAGCCTAGGAGCTCAGCAGAGTTAGCCCGCATCCAGGTCTGGGGTACCCAGATGACCTCCATGAGCCTGGATTTCCTTTCCCATAAAACAAGGTCACGTGCCTCACGCGGGGCCAGACTGAGGGACGGCGGATTGGGGGAAGTGTCAGTGTTGCTTTGCCCACAAACAGCCTCCAAGGCCTCCCGCCTTGGCTGGGTTCCTGGGCCCTGACTCACCTCCGGCTCTGACTTGAGCTGAACAAGGGTAGCCCTGGTGGTAGCCGAGCTGGGGGAGGCACCCGAGGGGCCTGAGTCAGGAGATTCCTAGACAGAACGATGTCACAGGAGGGTGGCCGGGTGGAGGTCCCTGTTCCTTCCTTCCTTTCCTGGTCACTTGTTCCACACCAGGCGCAGATGGAGCCAGGGGTTCACTGACCTGTTCCACTCTGGGTTTTACCATCTCCAGTTGCTGTCTGGCCACGGAGTAGGGAGCACATCCATTCTCCACAGTCACGCAGCTCGGCTCCAGGCTGGCTGTGCCCTCAAGAGCCGTGGCAGAGCTGTGTGCCCTGAGCCTGACCTTCCTGGTCAAGGAGCTGTTTGGTGATCTGGGCACTGAGTGATGATGAGGTTCTGAGCCTGCTCAGAGTGAAAACACAAGTCCTGCCCTTCACCCCTGCGCACACAGGCACTCTGGCCTAACATGCCTCTCTCTGGACACCATCTCCCCTCTAGTGCCCCTGACCCTGTTCACCTGCTATTCCAGGACCCCCAACCTTTCCACCTGCTACATGGGCTTCCCTGAGGATCAGCCTGGCAAGCTTGCTAGCAGGAAAAAAGGTGCCAGGCTAGCCTTGATGCCCGCCTCTGTGTGCAGAGTGCTCTGATCCCTCACGGACTTGCCCATGGAATGAAATGCACCATAGAGACCTAGCTTCCCTTCCCAAGGCCAGGCAGCCGTGCTCTATGCTAACCCAGGCTTCATGGGCACATTCTGGAGGTCCAGGACCTTCCTAGCATCAACCCCAACTCTGCCACGGAGGCATTGTGATCCAAGGTGCTCTGGCATAGCCCAACTTTTGGTTCTCACTTCATCTGAAGATGGGCAGATGGAGCCACCTGCCTGGCCTGAACATTTGTGATGGAGTTAAAACTAACTCCATCATTCTGATTGATGCCTTGGGCCACTCTCATGGCTCTGGGCACTTGGTGCCCTCTGCCTCTTAGACCTCAGGCTTGGACTACTCTCCTTGGCAGAACTCCCAGAAAGAATTAGGCTGGATAGCCAGGTGGGATGTCCCAGTGTGCCCTGGCAGAGTGTTGAAGGGGAACATATCGTTAGGGCTGTAAGTTAGGGCAGTCACTTAGCTGCACAGTGAAGGTGCTGTATGGGGAAGGGGCCAGCAGACCTTTATGCCAAGGACTCTCAAAGGCTGTAGGGTAGAGAGGCAGTCTGTGAGGGTCCAGGGATTGGGCAGAGAATCTGTGGACTACAGCTATAAAGGGATTATTAAATCTCTCAGTTAATAAACAGGATCAAGCCATGAGGCCCCTAGAAGCCCCAGGAGACCCCTTGTTTAGGGGTCCTTCTTTCCTTTATTCTTGCTGGATTCATTTCATACCACCTGCAGTCCAGGGTCTGCATGTCCTCCTGGCCTCCCTTCTCTCAGAGCTAGGAGCTACCGAGTGGCAGGGCTGGGCCCCAGCTCACAGCCGCTAGGCCTGCCGCCCTGCTTATGGCAGGTTTACGATGTTTTTCTCCCTCCTGAGTAGTGTTTGGCTTTTGGTTTCTATGGCGATGCAGGAATTTCCTAATGGCCTGTTTCCCATTTGGGCTAGGCAGACCTCAGTGATGACTCTGCTGGCTGTGTGGGACAGCAGCGAGAGGGAAGGCACGCCCTTCGGAACCTCCATTTCACCTCCCCAAGAGCCGACCCCTAGCCTGGTCAGAGGCCAGGACAGCCAAGGGTCCCGGATGAGCTCCTGGCTGACCCACCCGTGCAGCCTTGCACCCTCCTGAGTGGGGCCCCTTTGAACTGAACCTCTGCAGGCCACAGATAGGGTGGAGGAGTGGGGAAGTTGTAGGGCCCCTGCAACCACCTCTGTTCAGGAACCAGATGAGACAGGGATGGGCATTTGGGCGGGGAGTGGGGAGGGGACGCACAGCCTCATGCCAGGAGGGCGGCAGATCTAGACCTGTAGCTCTTCACCACCATAGACACCACTGGGGTACAGGGGTATCTGGGGTACAGGGAACACAAGCCGATCCTGTGTGACCCGGATCAGAGCTCCTGGTCCTGGCTCGGAGGTGTGCTGAGCATGCTGGGCCAGTATGTATGACCCTTGGAATTCTTGCCGCAGGCCTGAGAGCAGGAGCTGGCCCGGTGCTGCTGACGACAAGGTCCAGGCACACAGGATTCACATAGACCCTGAGGCCCAGGTGGGTGCAGACACTGCCTGGCCTGGCCTGGCCTGGCCTAGCTCAGCGCCGCCCCCTGCAGAGGAGCCAGGCGCGGTCCACAGGCACACCTCTCCTGGCCGCCTTCACTGTGGCTCTTGCATACTCAGGACAGAGACTGAAACAGAAGGTTCTCTGGGCCGTGCGCCTGCCCACCCACGTTCCACAGCTCTTGAGCCCTGCTGGAGTTCATCCTGATACCCAGCAGTGCCACATTAGGAAAAAGCAGTGTGGCAGAGGGCTGAACGAGTGGTGGCCAGTGATCTCAGCCCGTGGGACACAGCTCAGGCTCATGCCAGCCCTGGGTGTCCTGAGGATGAAGTTCTCTCCTGGGACTGCAGCCAGCAGATCGCAGGCCGAACTTCCGTCCGCTTAATCACCTTGTTGTGTACAGTGGAAGTCCAGGCGATGGCTGTGTCCTCAAGGGAAGTGGCGGGGTGCGGTGCCCTAGGACCTCCACCCTGGGTGTGAGGGCTTAGCCACGTTGCCAGGAGTGTGGTATCTAGACCCAGTTCCGAGTGTGGGCAAGGTGGAGACATGGACCCAGCATGTGGGAGGGAGCACAGCATCCTGGGCCTGCCCTTGTCCACCCTTTTCCCGGGAATCAAACTCAGGACCTCGAGCTTGCTGGGCAAGCATTGCGCCACTGAGCTATATCCCCAGCCCCCTCTTGTCCACTGTCTGTATGGAAGGAAAGAGACCAGGACAGGGGGAGGAGGCCTCAACAAACCCAAGAAGGGATCTGCCCTCGCCCTCCCTCACCAACTACCCCAGTCCTTGTCTGGCCTCATGCACGTCCCCAGGCCACGTGTTCGCCACTGCAGAGAGCCATTCTGGTGCAGGTGGTGAAGGTCAGACACTTGGAGACTGGCCAGGGGAGCCAGAGTGGGCACACTGCTCAGCCAGGGTCAGAGCAGCCCAGAGGAGGTGCGGGCCTCAGCCGGGGGCTTCCTGAAGGAGGGATATTTTTTCCTAGGAAGAACCGGCAGGTGGAGGGCTGTGCACACAAAGGCCCAGAGGTGACACTGTGTACCCCAGGTTCAGAAAACAGAAAGGCCTGGGATGGGGGCGGGGTAGTGGCGAGGGAGGAGGTTAGCGAGGCTCTAGCGTTTCTCTGTCCAGCATCTCATCTGTTTTTGCAGGGATTCACATCCACTTTTTTGCCTCTGATGCTTTCTCTGGTGGCCTTGTACACCCAAGGCCCTGAAGGCTGGGGCAGGGGCGTCAGGTTTGGCATGCACAGGTAACCAGGTCTGATAAGGGGCAGGCAGATGCGGGCAGGGAAAACAGACCTGCATGCCTGTGCACTGCCATTTCCCTCAAAGGCGGCAGATCCGTGACTGACAGAAGACAGCTCTGGGATCTGAAGCTTGGTTGAGTTCACTCCTCCCTGAGGCTCACAGCCGGTGGCTCTCCCCTCCCCCCAGGGCTTTCTTCATCATCCACTCTGAAGACCAGGCTGCTAGCTACCCGGGCGAGAGGGATGGATTTTCCATAATCGACAGGGCAACCCAGGGCCCCCTTTTTGTGCTTAAAAGATGATGGGCTCCATAGGTAGCCACAAAAACATCCCTGGCCCACCGTACAGGGCTGCTGGGCTGCGACCGACTGCCCTGGGAGACACAGGGCTCTTTGTCCCCTTGCTGTTCCCACTCTCTGCCTGTGGGGGTGGGGCAAGCTGGAGCCATCAGAGGAGGAGAAAACCACTGTTAGCCTAGGGCCAGTGCAGGGTACCTGGGAATGGATCCCCCAGGGTGATCCAACGGACCAGCTAGGGCTTCAGGCCCCCCAGGGAACCCCTGCAGAACTGCGAGTGAGAACACAGAAGGTACTTGGCCTGCAGGGCAGCAGAAGGGCAGTGATAGGAAGAGGTTTCTTGGAGGGCTGAGACATATGAAGGGCCAGGAGCAAGTTGTAGGAGGCAGTCCGTGGGCCTGTGCACCCAGCCTGTCCTCTGCTGCGCAGCAGAGAGCTGGCACTTAACCCCAGGAGGTGCCACCTGTTCAGCTGGATGCAGCATTCATCACCGTTTAAGTCGAGGGTCTGGATCTGAATTAGTCACAGGGGAGCTGAGAAGCCCACTGTGGCTTCCACAAGCAAATCTGCAGCAGGTACTCAGAGCTGGGACGCAGTGGGGGTCACTGGAGAAGGGAGGTGCAGGAATTCCAGGGAGGGTCCTTCAGCTGAGGAGCTAGGAGCCTGTCACATTCCCAGCTCACAGATGGTGAAACTGGGGTTCAGAGAGGTGCAGTGACTCCCCAAGTTCACAAGGGGTAGATCAGGAACTCACAGCACTGAGGCCACCACTGAGTTCAGACCTACAGACAGGCTGCTGCATGGGTGGCCAGGGGAGGGGCAGTGGCACTGATGACCCTGTGTTGACTCCCTCACGCTACCAGCAGGGGTTTGGAGGGCCTCAGTCCTTCCAGCCTCTGACTCCTCAACATCCCTGACGCCCCTTCCCCTCCCCCTAAAGCCTCCTTCTGGAGGCTGAGCCCCACCCCCACCAACCACAGCCCATCTGGCCCCCATTAGAGGCCAACCTCGCCTGCCTGCTTGCCCAGCGGACATGTGTGAGAGCGCTCAGGTTTCTCAGAACTTCTCTGGGTCTGACTGGAATGGTTTTGTTGCTGCTGCTGCCCCCGCCACTACTGCCGCCTTGATGGGGGCTATCCTAGGCAGCAAGACCCTCCCCTTGGTCTGCTGGGTGGGGGAAATGAGAGGATTCCCATTCAACCAATGGCTCATGCATTCCCTACACTGTGACCCTGGAGCAAGCAAGACACAGGCTCCCCTGCGCCCAGTGCTGGAAGCTGCCTGAGGCCAGGTCCAGCTCTTTCCCGCTGGGCTAGGCACCCTTTCCCTCCCACCCAGGATTCCTCTCCACACGGCAGAGGTTCATGAGTCGCCTCCCAGGTTGGGGCTGGGACCTACCCCATGACCTGAACTTGAGCCTGGCCCTAAAATGAGGCTGCTCTGGCTGCCAGCCCAGATTCAGCCATAGGAACCACCATGGCCTTCTCCAATGGGGCCAGTGTGGAGCCACGCAGGTACAGTTAAATGTATGTAGGTAGACTGGCTACTGTGTGTTTTGGCCTGATGGTGTGTGTATGTCTTTAAACATGTGTGTGTGTGTGCGTGCATGTCCCTGTTCACAATGGTGTGGGTGTCCTCGTGTGCCTGCAAGCTGTAGTAGCACAATTCTGGGCTCCGAAGGGATGGACAAGACCCCCCTAAGCAGAGACAGCCAGTTGGCATCCATCAGGGCCTGGCACAGCCGGGTGGAGGAGGGGCGAACATGGCCAGTGCCTCAGGCCTCACTCTCACAGGATGGCAGCCCAGTGAGCAGCAGGCGGGCCTCAGCCGCCGGGATGGCGCCAGAAGACATTCGACCAAGCCTGGGGTCTCCGTATGGGCAGTCACCGCGTCTTCCCGTCCCTCAGAATGGCAGCAGCAATGAGGCCACCCTGCCGGCCCAGATGAGCGCCCTGCACGTGTCTCCGCCTCCCAGGTAGTACACAGTCCTGGGCTCTGAAGCCACACTTGGATCCCACCCTAGCTCCTCCTCCCTGTGGTCTCTCGGGGTCCCTTGCTGACCCCTGACACTTGAGCCTTATAGGAACTGCTTTGCATTCTGACTCCCAAAGCCCCACCAAACTGCCAAGTTGGCAGAGCGGAGGCTGGAATGGCAACCTGTCTCTCCCCCATGTCGTTTTCTTGCCCAGCGCTGATCCAGCCAGAGGCCTCTCACGCAGCCGGGACTGCAGAGTGGACCTGGGCTCGGAGGTGTACAGGATGCTTAGGGAGCCCGGAGAGCCCACGGCTGTGGAGCCCAAGCAGTCAGGCTCCTTCCGCTATTTGCAGGGCATGCTGGAGGCCGGCGAGGGCGGTAAGACTCCCAACTCCATGTCCTGCCCGCGTCCCTGCACCCTGCACCCCGAGGTGCCCCTCTGACCCCCAGGCGCCGGCCAGCCCTCCGCTCCTCTCGTGGCCCCGCCTTACTGGCCAAACCCTCCCTGTAGTCTTGGGGGGGGGGGGCAGAAACAACGCCCTGCAGAAATGGAGGTCTGGCCTCCTGTCCGGGGCTCACCCCACCCGTGCTTCCGGTTTTAGGGGAGCGGCCAGGGCCTGGCGGCCCTCGGAACCTCAAGCCCACAGCCAGCAAGCTGGGCGCTCCGCTGAGCGGCCTGCAGGGACTGCCCGAGTGCACACGCTGCGGCCATGGCATCGTGTGAGTGCCCCACCCGTGACCCAGGGCCTCGACGGGGGTGCGCCCGAGGATCCGAGGGGTCATCTGACTCTGTCCTGTCCCATCCTCCCCCGACCCTTCCCCCCCAGGGGCACGATCGTCAAGGCTCGGGACAAGCTCTACCATCCCGAGTGCTTCATGTGCAGCGACTGCGGCCTGAACCTCAAGCAGCGCGGCTACTTCTTCCTGGACGAGCGGCTGTACTGCGAGAGCCACGCCAAGGAGCGCGTCAAGCCGCCCGAGGGCTACGACGTGGTGGCCGTCTACCCCAACGCCAAGGTGGAACTGGTCTGAGCCCTCCTGCCCCCCACCCTGCTTCATCTGACGCCCCCTTGTGCCCATGTAAATATGTCCCCGCGCCTCTAATAAAGTGCCTTTGTTCAGCCTCTGCGCAGTGCAGGCCTCCGCGCCCCTGTGCCGTGAGGTCGGCTTAGATGCCAGGGATGCCCTGAGCATGGGCGCAGTGGGACACAAGACAGGCACCAGGCTGCCCTCAAGGACAGATAAGTGAGAGGTGGAGGCGACAGGAGCCCTGCACGGTGAGACCCTGCCTAGCTGAGCGTGGACGGCAAAGGGCCTGCGGGCTCCTTCAGCGCCATGAGCAGGGGTGACCTCAGCAGCCTGCAGACCCCGGGGCTGAGCCCTGTCACCCAGCTGGCCCTGCTGCAGCTGCGGCACCCGCTTCTATCTCTGGATCCCCTTTTTCTTTGTATTTTCTCTCTCCTACCAGTAGAGGGCGGCCTTGCTTTTCCAGCTTGAGAGAAGGCTGGGTTAGAGTAGTGCCTGGCCTCCTGGTTTCTCCAGAGATGCTCTGCTTTAATTCCAGAGTGGAAGGAAAATTGCGCCTCCCTCATTCCTCAGGGAGACCTCATTGTTCCCACACCACGGGTCTGTCTGGGCCTTGCGTCCCTCTCCGCACGTGCTGATACAAAGGCTCATTTTTCTTTTGCTTTTTCCTTTTTATCCGTACCAGGGATCGAACTCACGACTGCCTGCTTGCAAGGCAGGCGCTTATGCCGCTGAGCTAAATCCCCAGCGCCCAAAGGCTCATTTTTTAAAAAGGCATGCACATAAATAGTATCAGGGTTGCCACTGGCTGGTAGCTGCGCCCTGGATCCTAGGCCCGGTGGACCAGCTCTCTGGTTTGCTCGCCCTGGGGCCCCATTGATGTAGTGAGCTGAGAGTACCTTGGTTCTATTTTCAATTTTGTGCTGTCACAAACCACAAGAGTCTATTACCAGCTCACAGTCTCTCACTATCAGCAGGCACCGGTACCTGTCTCCTCTAGCTCTTGCCCATATCCTGACCTTTTCGGTTTTTATACATCTGGTAAGTGAAACATGGCATGTGGTTGTTTTCGTTTTTCATTTCTCTGATTACTAGTGATGAGCTTTCAGTCATTCTGCAAACAATCAGTGTGTGCTTGCGAGGGGCCCACAGCTGGGGTAACTGAAAGCAAGTGCTTCTCCCTCTCTTAAGATCAGTTCCTGCGTTCATTACCCTAAGCCTTTCTCTCATTTTTCCAAGGTGTGTTTAACTTCTATTAGTGATTGGTAGGGACTTTTCATAGTCTTGTAAAAGGCTTTTGTGCATCCCACCTACATGGCTGTTCTGATGACCACATCACCGTGTTTCACTGCTACCAGGTCACAGTTTAGTAGCTAATCTCTCCTTGTTTGTTGTTTAGAAGTATGTCAGGGTTATTCTTGTGCTTTTCCGGTAATTAGTTTAGACTTTGTATGCCAGGCTCTGAAAAAACAAACCTCTCTGAACCGTGACGGGGTTTCCCTGAATCAGAGAGGAGCTGGCGAGAATCTGTCACCTGCACTTACTCTGCATTTATTCAGCGTCTGTGTTGTTGGAACTTTTTACCTCCATTTCCTTCTGATGGATTCGGCCTAGGAAGTCCTTCCAAAGGCTCTTTCCACCATCCCCCATGTTCCTGAGGGAGCCTCCTCAGGGCGGTGGACAGAGGAGTGGGGCCAAGGGAGTGGGCTAGAGTCCTTTGTCCTGTGGATGGCCCTGTCCTCCCTTGTCCGTGTCTCCTCCCTCTTCTTTGGTGATCAGCTGGGCTCTGGTGCTGCCCCCCCCCACACTAAGATTCACACTCCCTACGGCCACCCCTGAACAGGGGAGACGGTGAAAGAGCCTGCCTTTCTCTCCCCACTGTGCCTCTCCAAAAGACCAGGAGTCTAGACCTGAACAAAGCATATAACTAGCAGCTTCGGAAACCCTTAGGCCCAGGGATGAGTGGGAAAATCCCAGGAGCTGCCCCTCCCTCCCACGAGGCCTCACCACCCAGACTGAGCCGCACCTGCAGGGCTGTGGCCTCCAGAGCATCAGTGGAGGTGGGGAGGTGGGTGGAGGCCAGGAGGTGCCAGCCTGCTGCGTCCACTGCCGGCTTCCAGGCCCAGTCTCTACCCAGTGTCCCACCCACCTTTTCCATGCAGGACCCTAACTGTGCCCAAGAAAAGCCTTAGGGGGTCCCTGTAGGACATGGTCTCTGCAGAACAAGGTTTCTGAGGCCCAGGGCCCCAGTCGAGACAAGGGACACCAGAGTCCCTCTGCAGGAAGGGTAGCCAGATCCAGGATCCCCATCTCAGCGCCTGCAGCCCACTTGGCCGAGAACCAATGCTCATTGTTGTCCCCAAACTTACTGTCACTTGTAGATCCTAACCTCTCAGGTCTTGGAATCAGACACTTGGGCATTAATCTCTCCCCTGCTCACCCCACATGGACGCCGAGACCGACTGTCAGATCAAAAGCCCTTCTTCATCCGGCAAACCCCTATTCACTCTTCAAGGCCCAGATAACTGTCCCCACCCTAGCGCAGTCCCCCAGCCCAGCCTCACAGTCAGGTGTTCTCATCCGCAGCACCTTTGCCCCGCTCCTTCCATTCCTGTCCATGCCTCTGGCACAATCTTTCACCTCTTGGTCAGAGCCTAAGTGGAAGCTTCCTCTGGCCTGCCAAGACCCCAGGCCAGACCCTGGCAGGTGCAGGAGCCGTGGGTCCAGCTCCACTCACACACCCATCCGTGTGCATACACGTACACTTACTTTGCCTGCCCCCACCTTCCCCCATGCCTTCCCCTCCAGGTCTCTGCAAGCATCCTGCATAAGGGCCTCACGGGGAAGTAAGTCCTTGAAGGCAGCTCTCCCTCCTGCATCCTCAACCTCAGCTCTTTCATTCAATGAAATAAAATTTTCCAATATAAGCAATGCTGCCAAGGAAATAAAGAGAATATTATAATAGAGTTCAAGGAATTGCTTCATCAAACACGAAGACCGAGATAGAGAGAGCGCACCCTTGTGGCTATCTAGGGGCACTGCATCTTAAGAACCGGCGGCTGCCGCGGGGTGAGAGGTAGCAACAGTAAAGTGGGGGGATGCGGGAAGGGAAGGACAGCTCTGCTCACCCTGTGAGCCTTGGCACGGACTTTGGCTTCTCCTCTGCGATGGAAAGCCAGAGGAGTGGCGTGACCTGGACTTCTGTCTTAGCCAGAACTACTCCGGCTGCTGTATGGAACAGACACAGTAAGGGGCAAAGGTGGAGGCCGGCCGAGCAGTCTGCAGGCATGACTGGGTTCATCACCAGCTCCCAACCGGCCCCTCCCTCGGCCTCTGCAGCCCCAGCTCCCGCAGGCTCCTCTCCGCCTCCTGCCCGGACACCGTGACAGTTCCTTCCTGGCCCCTCTGCCTCTTGCTGTCCATATTTTTTCTATATAACGGCAAAGGGTGATTTTTTTTTTTAAAAGCAGAGCAGTGTCGCTGCTGGCTATGAAAGCTTCGTGGCCCCTCTTTGCTCTCAGCTCAAAGTCTAAATTCCTGGCCCCTGCTCACAGAGTCCCACGAGGTCAGCAGCCCTGCTGGTCTCTGCCCACAGCCCTGCTCCAGCCCAGCAGATCTGTAAGTTCAGAATCAAGGACTCCCCCGGCCTCCTCCAGATTTCCTTGACCTTCGGAGGAAGTTCAAAGGAAAACACTCCTTCCCCCTGGTCCAGTCAGTGAAGGCACGCTTTATTACTCCCTGCCTTCTCCCTGAGAACCAGAGACCAGGGCAGGAGGAGCCCGGGTGCTGCTTCTCACCAGCTTCCCCTTCCCAGCCAAAGCCCAGCCCCGAGGGGCTCACGGGCCGCGTCCAGCTGAGCTGCTGGGGGCACGTCGTGACCTGCACTGTGGCCCAATGCCTGGGCTCCGGGCTCCAAGGGTCCTTCCAAGGTGCCATCTGGTGAGCACCCTTTCACTTCCGGACCCCTGCGCAGCTGTGTGCACTCCAGCGCTGCCCTCGCTCCGACCCAGCTGGCAGCTTTCGCCCTGCCACCCTAGCCCAACCTCTGACCTGCTCTCCACAGCTCTGTGTAACTTCTCGGTTTAGGGCTTGCCCGCACCTTGTCTGCTTCTCTCATTCTGTTCCCTCAGCACCTCTGAATGGAGGGGAGCCTGAAGAGAGTTTGGAGAGTATTAAAGGGGTCTCTGTGCTCCTGTGCCCTTCTGTGCCTGCCTATGCCTCTCTGCCACAGTGCAAAGCTCTGTCTGGACCCCCACCCAAACCAGACCTCACTCAGCCTTGCTGGTATCACACACAGATCCACGCTGGCCAGAAGGCAGAGGGTGGAGATCCCCGGACAGGCTGCCAGAGACCTCGTGGCTTGTACCGTCACCGAGTGGGAATCCCAGAGGGCTTCTTTCCCAGGTCCTAGGGTCCTGAACAAAGAACTGGACAAGAAACACAGAAAAAGTGGCAGAGCTATAGCTTACTGGCTGTGGAGAAGAATTAGATGTGGTGAATGTTTAAACTCAAACATTGACTACAGTAAAAGCTGCGTTGTCATTAATCCTCCTCGCTGCAAACTCACACATCATATTGTCCTTGATTTTGGCACTTTCTGAAGCAGCTCTGGTTGTCTTTAGTTTGGCTGTCTTGGCTGCCTCAGTGTCCTGAGCTGATCTAAAACATTTATCCTTCATGGTCATGTTGACTTTGGGGAAGAACAAGAAGTGGCATGGGGCCAGACCTGACGGCCGGGGGATGAGAATGCACCGGGTAACACTCCTGTGAGCCTCTTTCCATTGGAGGCACCTAGCGGCAGCTTTCACTGTGTTTTTGATCACACCTTGCAATGATACACACAAAAGAGAAGTCTAGCAGTACCTTAGAAAGGGGGCTGGGGACTTAGCTCAGTAGCATAAGTACCTGCCTGGCAAGCAACAGGTCAGGAGTTCAATCCCCAGTACTGCAAAAAACAAAACAAAACAAAACAAACAAACAAAAAAACAGCATACTTGGACAGTTCTCCCACAGGACTTTGGAGATAGCCCTCCTCTGTTTGCTTGGGCACTGGAAAAAGACTTCGAGGACCTACATATTAAGCAAGGGCCTATGCTAC